GGGTCGCAAAGAGTCGGACACGACTGAGCGACTTCACTTCACTTCCTGGCTAGGAGTTGGGCAACCATAGGTGCCAGAGTCTTCAAATTCCTCTAGTATCCTTGTCTTTGTCTCCACTATTGACAAAACACTGACCACTCCTGAAGTGAAAGTGAAAGTCGCTCAGCTATGTCCGACTCTTTGTGACCCTATAGACTATATAGTCCATGGAATTCTCCAGGCCATAATACTGGATTGGGTAGCCTTTCCCTTCTCCAGGGGATCTTCCCAACCCAGGGATTGGACCCAGGTCTCCCACATTACAAGCAGAACACTCCTCAAAGAGAGTCTGTATCTTGTAGCTCTTTCTGCTGTAATCCAGAGTTGCTGGTGTGGCGGCAAGTTCTGGGGTGGGGGTCAGGGTGTAGTGGAGGAGTCTATAATTTTCCAATGAAATCTCAGTCTTAGTGGGACTATCTAGGACAAATATTTATCCAGTGCTACAGCCTTCTCCCAAGCTCCTTGCCCTGTGCTCCCTCCTCTGACTGCAGCGTTCCTAATATTTTTCCTTGAATAACCCCCCCCCACCCCCAACTCCATGTTTGTTTGTTTTTTTCTCCTCCTTAGTGAGACAGCAAGGTTCGATGGGCTAAAGTAGGAGGAATGGCCTTATCTCAGCTAGCATAAGACTCTGGTAAACTCTTCCCCAGGAGAGTAGACATTTTTGGTGAACTCTAGATGTGTTTCACAATGGTTATCCTTCATCTCTTAGAGCACTGAGGGAGTATTTCTCAGGTCTCCACCATGCAAATCCATCAGTTTCTGAATCTAATGGCAGTGGAAATGTGGATGACCTCCTAAGACCGTAGCCCCCAAGGAATTTCTCACTCTCAAGACAGTCCGCATTTGGACTTCCCTGGTGGCTCTACAATTTATCAAAATTGTCTCAAAAGAGACCCGGCAATTTATCAAAATAAGCATTTAATATTTCTAACATTTTGTGGTTCCTGTAGTTTCTGTTCCAGGTAAGCAGATCTTGGCGTATTTCTCTGGAATACAAGTATGCCTGTCATACCAGATTTTGCATACCAGTGTTGCAATTTGCCCAGCAACATCAGTTCTCAGGAAAATAAAAGGAAAGTCATTGATTTTCAGCCTGTCCAACTTATTCTTGTTGTAAGAATGTGAGTAATCACTTTCAAACTGTTCACAGCATAGAAGCTGAAAAAGGAAGTCCAAACAAGTTTCTGAATGTTAGAAAATTAAAGATTGTAAAATGCAAACAAAGTCACAAAATTCTTTAACTCCTCAAATGTTTAAATGCTCAAGTAATGCAACAGTTTCACAATAATTACTCTGGGGTCAATAAAATGTCAGATGTTGTCTGTGCAGAATTATGCAAAAGTGCAGAATTGTGTGCAGTATAGCCAACACATTGCATAGAATCCACTACACTTTGATTCAACTTTAAATTGTTTGCACTTCTGCATATACACCAAAATTTGCATTTGTATTATCTCTATCAAAAGCAGTACACTTCTCATTAACTCATTAAGTGAGCAGCAGCCTTCTAAGCAAGGCTTTTTCATGAGGAAAAACATACAAGGAAAGGGAATTTTTTTCTGATATTGTGATTACCTGCACCTTGGGCTATGTTTTTAAAAAATGAGGTATTTTAGATCTCTAATAATCTCTGTAATAGTAAATAGAGCTACTACATTTTTTATTATTGTAGCATTTTATCCTGGCACTTAAAATTTCCTTTCAATTTTAGAATCAGAAAATACTCCTGGTATGTTTGACCAGTTATCTGTGCTGAAAAGGTTGATCATGATCACAATGTGAACAATCTTACAACTTCTGCTGTGATTATTTTCATCTGAATTTGTTTTAATTAGAAAATGTATTTTTTTTTAATAGCTGAGGAACCACATATCTCTTAGGTTTAGCTGTTAATAGATACTGGTTTATTACTGACTTTCTATCATTTTTTTGTATTGAATGAAGTTTTATACTGCAAAAAAAGTTTCAAAAGGACTTTTCTCTCATTTAATAGATAACCAATGCTCTGAAAGTTAATCACAAATCTACATTTGCATTCAAGATTCAAATACAAAAATAAAAAATAGATGCTAGCAAACACCACAGAAATTGAAAATATTGAATTTGATAGTCTCATAATATCATTAATGTATTTGTCACTCATGAAGCTAAATTTATAACAGTAAATTGGGGTTGAACTGTTGAAGTGGTTGCAACCTAACAAACTGAACTTTGGTATGTGCTGCAGAAAAAATGAACTTCATGTATGGCCGCAAGGGAGAGCTGTATCTGCAAGGAACAACCTCTCAATGAAAGCCACAGCTGATCTTATACAAGGTTTTGGGAAGCTTAGTCCAAGGACTGGTGGATTTTCAGAAGCAGGGGTGTTTATGGAATGACAGTATTTCAATTGTGTTAGTGTGATCACTAGAATAAAGCTGTTATTGACTGGCATACTTTTAGAAATATAGTTACTGAACTGAGGCGTTTGATGACTGACTTGTTTACAGGCATGGGATGGTAAATGATAGGCTGACTTTCAGAAGCTGGAGTCTGATTAACTTGCTAACTGTCAGATGCAGGGGTCACTGCTGCTGATGTTTAGAGGATGTGTACTGATCCAAAGTAATCTCTAATTAATGGTGATTACTTGCTTACAACTTGAGACTATGACCAAAAAACATCTTTTCTTTAACATGGAAAAGAAGACTTTCAATTCTCAGTCACCTTCTCCCACCCTACCCCCCGGCTCCCCCGGTGGTTCAGACAGTAAAGAATCTGCCTGCGATGTGGGAGACCTGGGTCTGATCCCTGGGCTGGGAAGACCCTTGAAGGAGGGCATGGCAATCCACTCCAGTCTTCTTGTCTGGAGAGTCCCCTTGGACAGAGGAGCCTGGTGGGCTACAATCCATGGGGTCGCAAAGAGTCAGATGTGACTAAGCTTAGCACATACCCCACCCCCAACACCTAACCCTCCAACTTTGGTCTTATCTCAGCCAAAAATATAGGATAGACTATAAAGAATTGTTCAGATCTGTGGAGGTACAGTTTTCAGTTAGCATTGCTGTTTAAGTAATTTAAATGCCAATTATTGAAACAGAAATACAGCTCTAACTGCTCAGTTTAAAAAAAATACAACTGCTCAGAAAAAAATACAACTTAATTACATTAAGGGCAACTTAATCAGTCCATACAAGACATATTCACTATATACAGGATACCTGTCAAACTTACTTGCCTTCTTAGCTTTCTTCTCACTCACCAACCTCCTTTATTTGCTTCTGAACACCATCTTATTTGTTCTAATATATTGTATCCTATTCTCCAAATGTGCTGTTCCTGTTCTAGTTTGGACTCTGATTTATCTATCACTTGAATTGTCATAGCTCAGATTTCTAGGCATCAGTCTACACAGCTTTTATAAATCCTATATACATTCTCCACACACTGTTGCCAAAACAATGTCCCTTGCTTAACATTTTTAACTGACTATCAGTTTCAGGATAAAATCTAAACTTCGTTGCATGGCAAATAGGGCTTTTGTTATCTGGTCTCTTGCCTTCTACTCAAACTAACATCTGCCATTCTCCTGATCATTAGTTTTATACTTGAATTTCTACGGAGATGTCACAGTATTAACCACCTCTACCTTTCCTCTTATTTGGAAGGCTTATCTCAACCTCTGGAGAGTTCTTATTATTCTTTCAAAACCTGACTCAGGGATCATTGCTTCTGGAAAACTTTCTCTGATGTAATCAGGCTTCCTTAATTAGGTTCAATCTCTTTCTTCATGTCCAAATTGCTACAATGTTCTTGTACTGCAAAATATTTTCACAATCTATTTGCCTGTTAAAACAACCACACTTGTGTACACTGACATAATTTGCTTTACTCATCTGATAGTTCCTCAACTCTATTCCCTTTACTTCATTCATAGCTTCTTAAAGGTCTGTGACTTTTTTATTGAAGTTTCCAGTGTGCAATACAGTACCTGCCCCAAGGCTAGGAGAAAACCAAACCACTGAGTTGTTTATAATTATTCCTTTTGTTTTCCTGAAATTGTTTTGATACTAAAGAACACCAAGAAGGAAAAACATACTCTGTTTCATGACATGATCAATGTACCTTTCAACATTTTGGCATGTATGCTACATTCATTAAACTACTTTTGACAGGCTCTTCTGGTGTGAAATTAGAATCTATATTATTAAATACATATATATTAAACATTTAATAACTTTCAATACTGTATTAAATACTTTAAATAGCTTTGAAAACTGCTTATTTTTCCATTTAATATCCCTAAGATGACAGCTCACAGTATTTAGCAAGTATACTTTTGTAATAAATTAATTCAGAGCAAAAAAAGAAAAAAATTCTGAGTAGAAAATTTGAAATTTATAGCAATTACTAGAAGAACAAAAGAAGAAGAGAACAGACTTTTATTTCTATTTTTAAATGAAATCCATGCACAAAGTTTGACAGCAACTCAGGAAAAGGACTAACCCCAGAAACTGAGAGGTAGTTTACAGTTCATTTTTATCTTTTATTTGGTCCTTTTTTCTAAAAATGCATAATTCCTTTGACCACATCTGTTATATGCTATTACAATGTCAGTTATTTAAAAAAGCATTAACATTTAATTTATTTCAATGGGAAATCCAGTGCACACCTCCCCTCATCACCCAGATGCTTGTAACAATTACATATGACAGGTAGTCTACACCGCTGTGGAGAGAAAACAATTATTTTACAAATGCCCAAAGTCAATGTCTCCAGTCAGGGATTCTTCATTTAAGGTTATTACTATTGTCTGACAGGCTTCCTCAATATGCATTACATAGGTTTGTCCTTAGGATTTATTATCTGATGAGGACTAAACTATAGAAAGGCTTTTCATATCCATTACATTTATTACATCACTCTCGTGTATTCTGGTGAGCTTTGGTTTCAGAACTTCACACATGCAAATCTACTTCCTAGGGGTTCTCTTCAATATGAATTTTATAATGATTAGTAAGGGATGATCTGTGATTGAAAAGTTTCCCGCATGTATTACATTCATAGGGTTTCTCTCCAGTATGAATTCTCTGATGGGCAATACGTGATGAGCTTTGTCTAAAAGTTTTCCCACATGTATTACATTTGAAGGGTTTCTCTCCTGTATGAATCCGCCGATGTTGAATAAGAGCTGAACTTTGGCCAAAAGATATCCCACATTCTTCACATCGATATGGTTTCTCTCCTGTGTGAATTCTCTGATGATTACTAAGGGATGAGTTACATCTGAATGTTTTTCCACACTCATTGCATTTATAGGGTCTTTCTCCAGTGTGCATTCTCTGATGTTGAATGAGAGCTGAACTTTGTCTGAAGGCTTTCCCACACACTTTACATTTACATGGTTTCTCTCCAGTATGAATTCTTTCATGAATAATAAGTGTTGAGTGGGAACTTAAGGCTTTACCACATTCATTACAATTATAAAACTTCTCACCAGTATGAATTATTCGGTGTCTATTAAGTCGTGAAATAGAAGTGAAGCCTTTTCCACATTCATTACATCTGTAAGGCTTTTCTCCAGTGTGAATTCTTTCATGTTGAATAAGAGATGCACTCTGACTGAAGGCTCTCCCACACTCACTACATTTAAAAGGTTTCTCTCCTGTGTGAATTCTCTGATGATAACGAAGGGATGAACTAGACTTAAAGGTATTACCACATTCGTTACATAAGTAGGACTTTTTTCTGGAATGAATTCTCTGACATCCAGGAAGGGATGTACTGCAACTAGATGCCTTCCTACCTGGATTATATTTATAGGGGTTTTCTCCAGCATGGATTTTTTGATGTATAAAAAGGCCTGATCTTCTGCTGAAGGATTTACCACATTCTTTACACCTATAGGATTTCTCCACAGTATGTGTTCTTAAGTGTTTATAAAGGGAGGTACTGAGAGTGAAGGCTTTCCCACATTCTTTACATATATAGGGTTTCTCTCCAGTATGAGTTATTTGATGTTGAATAAGTGCTGAACTTTGGTTAAAGGCTTTTGAACAGTCTTTACATTTAAATAATTTCTCTCCACTGTGGTTTTTCTCATGTTTACGAAGGGATGAAGTATTAATGAAAGTTTTCTCACACATACTACATTTATAACGTTTCCCAGCTGTGTTGGTTTTTTGTTGATTAAATAAACTGAAATTTTGTTTGAAGCTCTTTCCCTGTATTTCACATTTTGGTGGGGCTTTTTCTCTTGGGATCACCTGTTGCCTAAAAAAGACTGACTTTGGGCTCAAGTTTTGGCCAAATTGAGTATTTTTATGTTTTCTCTCTATAGTGAGGATTTTTTTGTGAGTGACTGAAACTATCTGTACACTTTCTTTTTTCTCCTGCTTTTTCTCTAATCTGCCTTCATATCTGCAGGGTTTTTCTGATTTGAAGTCCCCAGGTCCACTCCTTTTGGATCTTTTCATTATCAGTTCCTGAAATGAATGACCTTGTGTTTGAGTTGACTTTGTGGTTTTATAACTGTTCTTCCATCCTGGAGAGGAAAGAAAAAACTGAAAATGTTTCATGTGATACAGCATTTGGCTACTAAATGTATAGACTGAATATTTATGGTATTCAAATAAGGTCTCAATATTTGGCCAAAAGATAATAAGAAAAACTTAGGAGATTTAATTAAGCAGTACAGAGAAATAAGCCAATACAAGCTGAGAACAAGAGAGTGGAGAAAAGATTAAACAAACCCATTTAAAGAGGGTGAGTGTAAGAGTGACCAGGAGAATCAGTTAATGGAAAAATGGAGAAGAAGGATTAAAAGAGGAACCATAAATTGAAAATGGCAGTCTGGGATGAGATTCCAAAGCCCATGACAGAATTTTAAATTATCTTCTTGACACTTCTCTTATTTGTATAATCATTCATAATCTGGAGAGTCTTCATCCCTTTTCCCTCATGCCAAATTCCTTTGTATCATTCAGAATCCATTCAAAAGTTAACTGTTTCTAATTGTTTTGTGGAAAATAATAATATTTATTTTTAATTGGAGTGTAACTGCTTTACAGTAGTGTTGGCTTCTGCCATACAACAACATGAATCAGCCGTAAGTATCCACATGTCCCCTCCCTCTTGAACCTCTTCCCCAGCTCCCACCCATCCCACTCCTCGAGGTTGTCAGAGCACCAGGTTGAGCTCCCTGTGCCTACAGCAACTTCCCACTGGCTATTTTACACATGGTAATTTACATATGTTAATGCTACTCTCTCAATTTGTCCCACCTTCTCCTTCCCCTGCTGTGTCCAAAGTCTGTTCTCTATGTCTGCATCTCTCTTCTTGCCTTGAAAATAGGTTCATTAGTACCATTTTTCTAGATTCCATATATGTGCATTAAATTATGAAATTTATTTTTCCTTTCAGATTTACTTCATTCTGTATAATAGGCTCTAGGTTTATCCACCTCATAAGAACAAACTCAAATGCATTCCTTTTATGGCTGAGTAGTATTTTATTATGTATATGTACCACAATTTCTTTATCTATTCATCTGTCGATGGATATCTAGGTTGCTTCCATGTCTGAGCTATTGTAAATAGTGAACACAGGGGTACTGTGAGTTTACACAGTCCATTCCTCTTATTATAGGCACTCATCACAGTATAAAAAACATATATATATATTCTACACATGTAATTATACCTATCTACCTATATCTAAGTAGATTTCACTTTCCTTTTCTATCCTAAGTATTCTTTGCAAGCAGATTAGCATGCCCTTTTAACCTGCAGATCCTCCTAATGGCATCTGAATTATATACAAAATGTTTTACTAATCTTCCTCAACAATTTATATATAAATTTTTGAACAATGTCAAATACTTTCAATTACTTATATATTAATTTCACACACACACACATCATTCAAACACTTGTAGCAGTTGCCTCCAGGACAGTACATTACACAAGTAATGAGGAGTCTCAGAGCCACTTCAAACAGAAAGGAATTAGATTAATCTACTGAGGTAACAACAGGTAGGCCTGAAACCAAAGGTTGCAAGATAGGAAAGTAACCTTGCTAATGCATCAAGCAAGAGAGGCTATGCAAGCAACATATAAAAGAGTCAAAGATCAAATATAAAAAAGGTAAAAAGGGCTAACATGATAACATGGTAAAGAACAGAATTAAGTTAAATAAATTTTAATTGGGTAAGGATGCAATTAATTGAATATTAAAATTTGCCAGGGGAACAAGTATACATATAGTTATTTATTTTCTCCTGAGTTAGAGTAACCATTTCAAGGGTTCCTCTACATCTTACTGTATTTTGACATTTCTACTTGACATTCACAATCTGTGTACAGATTGTCTCTGCTTGGTGAACATAATATATTTTGCTTTTGTCTTTTCTTCTACCAGAGTTAACTTCTCAGTTTCCTTCATGGGTAACTTCTTCTATTCCCCCTTTAAAAATTGCTTTCTCTAGAGTTTGGGATTTTCTTTCCCTTCACTCTACACATTCTCTTTGACTAATTTTATATGCACCCATCTTTACTATTTCTTTTCCTATTTTTCAAGGCACTGGTATTTGCCATGCAGGGCAAGTGAGAATAACACTCATTAAAAAAAAAACAACAACTAAATATCAATAAATCATTCATTCAATTAGGGACCACATCTTCTGGAAAAGCACACAGTGTGTATTTAGTGTAATAATAGCTTCTTTTCATTTAGCCAATCACAAAATCTTTCTGCTGTTTCAAAATCTCTCTCATCTTTCCTATTTACTGTTATGGAAAGAAGAGGTTTTTTCTTTTGTTTTTGTTTTTTAAATTTTCTGTTAATACCTTCCAAGTTCCTTGTCCATCTAAATCTTGCTAAATGATCAACTTTCAATAACATTATTTGGGTAGAAGAGTGGGAGGCAGTCATAAAACTGGAGTACTTTCCCTGTGAACACCAGTCATTGGTTGCAGGCTACAAGTGCCGGGAAAAAGAAAGATTCCAAAATTGTGGATTGTCATTTATAATGTAAAGTTAGAGATCCTGCCTTCGTTAGAGACCTATACCTTTATATAGGCCTGTATGTAAAGACTGCTGTTTTATGACCGACAAGTTTACTAGAGCTCTTGAGCACTGAACTCGGGTACCTAAATGGTACTCTGCTTCTCACGCTTTAATGTTCTACCATAGTCTCCTAATTCTGGTGGCTCAGTGGTAAAGAGTCCGCCTGCTAATACAGCAGATGTGGGTTCGATCCCTGGGTTGGGAAGATCCTCTGGAGAAGGAAATGGCAACCTACTTCAGTATCCTTGCCTGGGAAATCCCTTGGACAGAGGATCCTGGCAGGCTACAGTCCATGGGGTTGCAAAAGAGTTGGATACAATTGGTCAACTTAACAACAACCATCACCACCTCTAGACTTCAGTCAGTTCAGTCGTGTCCAACTCTGTGTGATTCCGTGGACTGCAGCACACCAGGCTTCCCTGTCCATCACCAACTCCTGGAGGTTGCTCAAACTCATGTCCATTGCGTTGGTGATGCTTTTCACCCGTCTCATCCTCTGTTGTCCCCTTCTCCTCCTGCCTTCAATCTTCCCCAGCATCAGGGTCTTTTCTAATGAGTCAGTTCTTCCCATCAGGTGGCCAAAGTGTTGGAGTTTCAGCTTCCGCATCAGTCCTTCCAATGAAACCCAGGACTGATCTCCTTTAGGATGGACTGGTTGGATCTCCTTGCAGTACAAGGGAATCTCAAGAGTCTTCTCCAACACCACAGTTCAAAAGCATCAATTCTTCAGGGCTCAGCTTTCTTTATAGTCCAACTCTCACATCCATACATGACTACTAGAAAAACCATAGCTTTGACTAGACAAACCTTTGTCAGTAAAGGTCTCTGCTTTTTAATATGCTGTCTAGGTTGGTCACAGCTTTTCTTCGAAGAAGCAAGCATCTTTTAATTTCATGGCTGCAGTCACCATCTGCAGTGATTTTCAGTTCAGTTCAGTTCAGTCACTCAGTCGTGTCCTACTCTTTGTGACCCCATGAATCGCAGCACGCCAGGCCTCCCTGTCCATCACCAACTCCCGGAGTTTACTCAAACTCATGTCCATTGAGTCAGTGATGCCATCTAGCCATCTCATCCTCCATCGTCCCCTTCTCCTCCTGCAGTGATTTTGGAGCCCCCCAAAATGAAGTGTCTCACCGTTTCCATTGTTTCCCCATCTATTTGCCATGAAGTGATGGGATGGGATGCCATGATCTTAGTTTTTAGAATGCTGAGTTTTAAGCCACCTTTTTCATTCTCCTCTTTCACTTTCATTCTTCTTCACTTTCTGCCATAAGGGTGGTGTCATCTATGTATCTGAGGTTATTGATATTTCTCCTGGCAATCTTGACTCGAGCTTGTGCTTCATCCAGCCCAGCATTTCACATGATGTACTCTGCATATAAGTTAAATAAGCAGGGTGACAATATACAGCCTTGACGTACTCCTTTCCCAATTTGGAACCAGTTCATTGTTCCATGTCCAGTACTGTTGCTTCTTGACCTGCATACAGATTTCTCAGGAGGCAGGTAAGGTGGTCTGGTATGCCCATCTCTTGAAGAACTTTCCACAGTTTGTTGTGATTCACACAGTCAAAGGCTTTGATGTAGTAAATAAAGCAGAAATAGATGTTTTTCTGGAAATCTCTTGCTTTTTTGATGAGCCACCTGATGTTGACAATTTGATCTCTTGTTCCTCTGCCTTTTCTAAAATCCAGCTTGAACATCTGGAAGCTCATGGTTCACATACTGTTGAAGTCTGGCTTGGAGAATTTTGAGCATTACTTTGCTGGCGTGTGAGATGAGTGTTAATTGTGTGGTAGTGTGAACATTCTTTGGCATTGCTGTTCATAGGGACTGGAATGAAAACTGCCCTTTTCCAGTCCTGTGGCCACTGCTGAGTTTTCTACATTTGCTGGCATATTGAGTGCAGCACTTTCACAGCATCATCTTTTAAGATTTGAAATAGCTCAGTTGAGATTCCATCACATCCAGTAGCTTTGTTTGTAGTGATGCTTCCTAAGGCCCACTTGAATTCTCATTCCAGGATGTCTGGCTCTAGGTGAGTGATTATAGCATCATGGTTATCTGGTTCATGAAGATTTTTTTGTATAGTCTTGCTCTCTGCCAATTCAGTCTCCACATTGTAACAGACTAATCTTTCTAAAATTCTCATTTTACCATGCTGCAAACTTCCTTAAGATCATCCAACTTATCTTCAATTTATAAGGTATAGAGTACTTAACAGGGTGAACAAAGTATGTGATGATCTAACCTTTGTTCAGCTTGCAACTCATCTCCTTTCCCTGGCTTCCTGCCAGGTATGCTGAACTACATGCAATTTCCAGAGCCCTACATTTTTGTTTTTGTGTGTGTGTGTGTTATCTTTGCATATGCTGCAGACTTCCTTTCCATTCCCAAATACTTATTAAGTGCCTACTATGGGCCAGGTAAAGTTCTAGGGAATGTAGAGAATGTGATGACTAAGAATTTCAGTCTTTAA